TTATGACAGTAATCCAAGCAGTGCACTGGTCCATAGTAACTGCTCTGTTATCACCTCCTGTTATGACAGTAATCCAAGCAGTGCACTGGTCCATAGTAACTGCTCTGTTATCACCTCCTGTTATGACAGTAATCCAAGCAGTGCACTGGTCCATAGTAACTGCTCTGTTATCACCTCCTGTTATGACAGTAATCCAAGCAGTGCACTGGTCCATAGTAACTGCTCTGTTATCACCTCCTGTTATGACAGTAATCCAAGCAGTGCACTGGTGACAGTAATCCAAGCAGTGTACTGGTCCATAGTAACTGCTCTGTTATCACCTCCTGTTATGACAGTAATCCAAGCAGTGCACTGGTCCATAGTAACTGCTCTGTTGTCATCTCCTATTGTGATGAAACAGAGCAGGAGCATCATAAGACCTGCTGTTAGGGATTTGAAAGTGAGGCTCTTAGAAATGTCCACCAGGAGGCAGCCTGAAATCATGTATGTCCACGGAAAACCCAGCTTTCTGTTCGAAAAGCCTCGCGGTAAGGTGGCCAGTTTCAAATGTTCTTGGCCCTTTTTCTCTCCATGTTTTTATTTCTTCTTTTTAAAGAACATTTTCAGTAATTCTTGGGCTCTACCTTAGATATGGGGCAGGCTCATTAACACCTGGAGGGTGGCGTGGGCACCACAGAGAGGTGCATGTCCCCCTTGGGAGGGCACAAGCATCTGTCCAGGGCTCCTTGACTTCTCTCTGTGGTTTTTCACATAGAACATATTCTTACTAGTCAAACTCTTGCTGTAGAGACGAGAGCCTGAACATATTTAGAGAAAAGAGAAACGTGGTTTTGTCTCCCTGCTCCCCTTCCACCGACTACATGCCTACCTTTGACTGTGTGTATATCTTGGGGCAACTGTGGGGGACGTGACAGTGGCCTGAGCTGGGTGACCCAGAGATGCAGAAGCCACCTTGGTTCAGTAGCCTCTCTGTCCCCATGGCAAATGAGTTAGAGGAGAACACAACAACCAAACAGAATGAAATTAGGCTTCCTCCGTCTGGGGGGCACAGAGTATCTCAAGGTCTGGGGACTTGTGGGGTCCTGAAGGTAGGGGGGGGGAGAAGGGGCGGTTTTAGTTGGAAGGTGTGTGGGAGAAAGGGGCAGTGCTGAGGTCAAGCTGGGAAGAGTGTTTGGGCTTTGATTGTGGGGCCCGGCAGTGAAGAGCTGAGAAGTTGGGCCTTGAAATTATTTTATTTGGGAGGGGGCTTCAAATTATGCCACCCATGTTGTTGGTAGCATCGATTAAGTTGATTGAAACCAAACATGGAGAGTGACACTAGTTCAGGGTTGATTTTTTTAGTGCTTATCTCTTAATAAGCACTGATTTGCCCTGTCTGTGATCCAGGCGGCAATAGCAGATGCTGGAGGGGAATCGTGACAATCTAGTGTTTGTCTCATCTATCCCTGTCCTTATTCACATTCCTACTTTATAGCCCAGACCTCTCAGTCCTTCCTGGACAGTACAGGAACCTTCCAGAGAGGGGTGGGGCACAGGTTTCCATGGCAACTGGCACAATGAAGCCAGCTTTGTGATGTCACCATAGAGGAGGGTTCAGGAACTGGGAAGCTGATGGTTGGGCTAACACTGAAGCCTATTGCTTCTAAATGTTGTGCTGGAACATTAGATAAATAGTATTCATGAATGACCAATGGTGACCTAGTGCTGTAAATTATTTCCCATCCTATAAGAACGGTTTGATTCCCAGTCAGGGCACATGCCTGAGTTTCGGGCTCCATCCCCAGTAGGAGGTGTGTAGGAGGCAGCCGATCAATGACTCTCTCTCATCATTGATGTTTTTATCTCTCTCTCCTTCTCACTTCCTCTCTGAAATCAATAAAAATATATTTTAAAAATAAATACAAAGAAAATACTGAGATTGACATCAGAGCAAATTTCTCAGAACCAAAATCAAACTTGAGCATGTGGCCCTGGCCAGTGTGCTCAGTGGTTAGAGAGTAGGCCCAAGCACCAAAGGATCTCGGGTTTGATTCCTGGTTAAGGGCACATACCTAGGTTGCAGGTTCGATGCCAAGCCCTGGTCAGGGTGGGTGTGGGAGGCAACCAGTTGATGTGTCTCTCTCCCCCCCCTCCGCCCTCCCTCCACTCTCTCTAAAAATCAATGGAAAAAATATCCTCGGGTGAGGATTAACAAAAGACAACAACAACAACAACAAAAACTTGAGCGTGTGGTTCTCAGTGTTCATCTGAAGAGCTCACATGTCCTGCGGCTGTTGGCCCCTCCAGACACTAGAATGTTCACTCTGTGTAATAATCATGTCCACTTTTCTGCTTCTCCCCTCCCCTGGGAGCCAGACTGGGGGAGACCTGGTGGGCTTTTCTGCACACTGTCAGGGCTCTCTGTCATTTATTACACTTTCTGACGCCTGCAGGGCCAGGCCCGGGAACAGAAGACTAGGGAACGGACTTGGTTCTCTGGGATTGGTGTTGGTGGGTGAGTGTGGCAGCTGTTGTTGCCACCCCTCAGCTCTGGGGCTGCGTGTGTGTGTGTGTGTGTGTGTGTGTGTGTGTGTGTGTGTGTGTGTGTTGGGCTGTGTATGGTGGAGAGTGAGGGACCCGGCCTCCAAGGCCGAAGTGATGCTCATGGATGGTGTGTGCGTGTGGCCAGACCCAGGGTTTGGGCCCAGCAGGTGGGAAGGAGTGAAGAAATGTTTCATCATGTTTTCTTTCTTGCAGGCATGGAGGGGTTCTTAAGATGTGATGAGAGACAAAGACTAGCTAAGGAACGACGCGAAGAAAGAGAAAAGTTTATGGGTAAGTTGTGCACTTTGGCAGTTTAGGACCAAGGAAATGGAGATATGGCTGTATCTTTCCTCAAGAGCCTTAAAATTCTGTGACTGAATTGGAAGAGAGGTAGGACAGTTGTTAGATGAACGTGGAGAATTGGGGGCGAACCCATGCTGCGATTGGTGCGTTCACAATTATGTAATTCTCCAAACAGTTCCTTTATTCGCCTAGCACACATTGAGCGTACGCTGTGTTCCAGGCCCTGTGCTCGGGGCTGTGGGTAGCATGAGGAATGAGAACCTGAGAAGCGCTTGCCACCCTCGCCCCTTGGGTGTCCACTGTGTGCCCACCAGGTTCTCTCTCTCTGGGGCTTCGAGAAGGGCCAATTGAGACATTATCTGTGTTAAGATGGGGAACCCGGTTGAGAAAGGCTGCCTTACCTCTTGCAGGTTGTAGATGGGTAAGTAGGGCATGTCCCCACAGGGTGCTCTGAGGTAGATAGAAAGTGATCCCCCCCACCCCTGAGTTGAGACAAATGAGGCGCTTTCAAGTTCTCTCTTGACTGCCTCCTACTGGTTAGCTCAGGCATTGTCCCCTCCAGGGAACCCTTCTCTGACTGGGCCAGGTAGAGTTAAGGCCCCTTTATTAATTGTGTTGTGAAGGCCAAGCTCATTCATGTGTTTACCCCCTTGCCTAGCTCGGTGAGTGGTGTATAACAGTTAACGTGTTTTGAATTTTGAATGAATGTACCGTTACAACTCTCATTTCTCAGCCCGTGTATGGCCTATGCAGGCTGGCAAGACTGACTCGAGGATGACACTGGTAGTCGTAGCTGCCACGTGTAGGGTAACATACTGTACCTTTTTAATGCATTGTCTCGTTCCATCTTCACAGCACCGTGATGTTGCAAACGTGACTGTCCTCATGTCACAGAGGAGGAAACCAAAGCAGAGATGGTATGGTTAGCATGCCCAGGGCCACCCAGCTAGTGGCAGAGCTGCCAGAACCCCTCATCTCAGTCACTGTGGCCTGAGCTCCCACTAGGCTCTTTTTTTGGTCTCTCTTGCTTCCGCATTGTTGGTCTTAATGCAAAGGGTGTGGAGTGCGCTGCTAATGCCACCTCTCTTTGTTTTTCTTCCCCCAGCTGCACGAGAGCAACAGTTCCTGGAGAAGCAGAAAAGAGCCAAACTCCAGTATGAAAAGCAGATGGAAGAACGATGGCGCAAGCTAGAGGAACAACGGCGCAGGGAGGACGAGAAGAGGGCTGCCGTGGAACAGAAGAGGAGGCAGAAGCTCCGGGAGGATGGGGTAAAGTTCTGGGACCCCCAACTCATCTGAGCAGCTCACACAGGGCTTGGTGCTCAGGGCACCAGGGCGTCCTGCCCAGTACAAGCGTGATCTCCTAAGCTCTCTGCTGGGTGGCTCACCATATTGTCTTTCAGCAGCATCACACTACACAGTAGAAGTCCGGTAATGCACTAGGCCAGTGGTCGGCAAATTCATTAGTCAACAAAGCCAAATATCAACAGTACAACGATTGAAATTTCTTTTGAGAGCCAAATTTTTTAAACTTAAACTATATAGGTAGGTACATTGTTATTAACTTAATTAGGGTACTCCTAAGGCTTAGGAAGAGCCACACTCAAGGGGCCAAAGAGCCGCATGTGGCTCGTGAGCCGCAATTTGCCGACCACGGCACTAGACTAAGAACAAAATGACTTATCCATTCAACTCAGCTGTTCATTTGCTGTGTGACCTTGGACAAGTCACTTGGCCTCTCTGGGCCTTGAATGGCTTGTCTCTGAAGTGAGTGGTTGAGTTTGGCAGTCTCCAAGGCCTCTTACAGCCTAACCATCTCTGACTCTAGGACTCAGAGGGAACTGTAGATAGGGGCCTAGTGATGTAGACCTGGGGGTTCTGCTGGGGATCTGAGCCTACAGGCTTGAGGAAGGGCTGTGAGTGTGGAAGAGAACTTGATCCTGTTATTCACCGCTGGAAAAATCAAATTGTCTGCCTTTAAATCCAAAGATGCTAGTATATTTTAATGCAGTTCCTTGCTTTCATCATCCTTTCTAGTTACCTTTAAAAAAAGAAATGAAATCTAATTACCCCTACCAAGTCTTTCATTACTTAACTTTGAAAATATATTTGGAAAGCATTTTGGGGGTTTAGATTTTCTTAACAAGTATATTTTAAGGATGTAGTCATAGCCTTGTATCAGGTGATGATCATCTTTTATTCATAAGGTATAATGACTCATCATTTAGCATGAACAACATAGAGGTTTGTTAATTTCCAACACTGTAGAATACAGAAATTTCCTATAAATTCAGTATTTTTAAAAATATATATTTTTATTGATTTCAGAGAGGAA